TTAGTATTGCATAGGTTCGTTTGTGGGAGTCGTCTAGCGAAAGCTGGTCGAATTGTGTGGTGATGTGATTAACAAGGTCGGTGGTGGGTTGTGATCGGGAATCGAATTTGGCCGTCAACAATTTTGGGGCTTTGATGAGGTTACTGAGGTGGGTTGTCTATTGTTACGCTGCTGCATTGGTGGAGGTGATTAGGTGGGCTAATTGGTCGGATACGGTGGGGGGTACTTCTTCTGACGTGAATACAAGCACAATTGATAGGTTAATCCTTAGAGGGGATAAAGCTCCGGTACAAAAATTTAAATTAGAGACAAGAGCTGAGGCAATTTTCTGATCTTTTTTTTAATGCAATCCTAGCTTTTTAAATACAGGAAGGAAACAAAGCAAGCTTATAATGCTGAAACGTGGAAAGGAAAATGGAACATGGAAAAGAAAATGAAAACATTGGAGAAAAAGTCTTCCTAAATGCATGCAGAAAAGTAGAACGTGGATAACTGCTTTAGTCTTCAAGTCTTGCTGGTCAGTTGGTGATTCTCTTGGGTCGTTGTTGGGTTATTGGATTGGACTCCTTGGGTTGGGTTACTGGGCTCGTATCAAATTCGTTGGAAATTTACATGAGAATTTCTTTATTTTGGAACTTAAATGCAAAATTAGCAACAATACAACATTAGAACTGTTGTTGTAAGTGCATGGGAACTTGAATTATAATTATAATTTCGAATAAAAAATAAATTAAAAACAGTAAAACACCCGGTTCCTTGTTAAACAAACGGGCTACAATATATAACCAACCAAAATCGATCCTCAATTGCACAAGTTGTAAAACATGCATTAAATTTAACTCACGAAACTATTACAACACTTATGAACGCGGTTACTTAGTAATAGATAATTCATGAATGCCTCAAAGTAACGTATTTTCTACAAGGCGTAAATCATCGCTGACACCAACGCCCCCACCACAATCAACATCACCTTCATCTTCACAACCACCGATGCCAGCTCCTGCTTCAATCTTTGAATTTCCGCTTCTTGTCTCAATATTTGAATTGCCGCTTCACCACCATCAGTACTATTATTGGAACCTCGTCGGATCCCGATACCACCACCTGCTCCGGCAGTGTCACCACCGCTTTCCTGCTCCTGTCTAGGGCCTACCTCTACGCTACGACCCGTTCTACCACCACCACCGCCATGACTAGCAATTGCACTGAGATTATCGTCTCCGGATACATTAAAAGGCGTGGAGCAAAAGAATTGAGGTTTGTCTATCATGTCTGGCTTGAATTCTTCGGAATCCTCGTGGCTTCCTGATTGCAGCTCAAAAGTTTTAATTCCTTGAGGAGATCCATTGAATGTAGAACTTAATCTTGCTATTATATCAATACCATCTCTAAGAAAGCGGTTGTGTCCCTTCGGATCTTCCCGCTGTAGCATCATCGTCAATTTTTTCGCCACCACCATCACTACGAAAATCAAAGCAGCCACTGTCAGTTGTAACATCATCGTCGATGATTTGGAAGATTTTAGTATTTTAGTTTGTTTGTTTCGTGTCCTTGTCTCTATTATTTATTCCTCGAGGACGCAGACCATAAAGGACGATATTTTGACCCACCTGCTCTCTACATAAATCAGGAAAATTACAGGCTTTTTCGTTTTCATTTCTTGGAAATTTTGAAAATTAATATTTATTCTATCTTAAATCTTTTAGTAATTAATTAGTAAAAATAGTAGACGCGTGTTTAATGTAGATTTCTGGTTACTTGTCTAATTTTTGTATTAATTAACTAAGTTATAACCGCCGGGCACACCCATGAAAAATTTTAAAAATATTTTATCGATAATCAAGACAATGCATAGGCATAACTTTTATATATATTATATATATATATATATATATATATATATATATATATATATATATATATATATATATATATATTACCAAAATACCCACCAAACCTCCCTAAGCCCCTTTCCCCTTTGGCTGTAATAGAAATAAAAACCAAAAATGATCCCTACATAGATATATCGGCCAGTAGAACTTGTCGTAAGTATCGATTTGTGAGAGGGATTAAAAGTTTGTCAACCATAGAAGAAATGTGAAGTGAAGAGAAATTACATTGATTGATAAAAGATGTCAAACTTAAACATTGAATAAACGAAAAATTGGGGTTGAAAATTAATTTTCTAAATAAAGCTACATATTCTAAAAACTAATGATACATTTGAATGATTATATCTATATATTGCAAATCAAGAAAAAAAAATATCTATATTCTAATAAAATAATAGTTTTAATATCCTTTTGACATGTGTCATCATATTAAGTCTTCTAATTAATGCATATTTTATATTTTTTTTGTCATGTGTCACCTTATTAGGTCTTCTAATTAATGCATGCTACTTGTCAACCTGTTAATTCTCAATTTCAAATTTCAAATTTTAGATTTTGTCACTCTAATTACATTAAATTAATAACATTAGAATAAAAATTAAAATAAAATTAATACAAATTATAAGGTGACTAATTTCACATATTTATTTAAATTAATTATTATAATTTTATATAACTAAAAAAAATATATCTTAATTAATAATTTATTTAAAATAATTTATTAATAATTTTGAGCTCTCATTGTTAAAATTTAATTAACTTTATAACCGTGGTTTTCTACGGGTTATAAACTAGTTATATGTATAAGATTTACTGTCACAAGTACATAATGGGGCAATCAAATGAAGTGCGTATTTGGAAAGCCACGTGAGAGGATTAAGATCATGTAACCAAAGTAAAACAACACCCTCAAACACTGCAAAGGTGAATATCAGAGTGCGAACAACAAAATACAAAATATTAAAAGATGGGATGGAAGGATGTGGATCCGTTTGACTTTGAGCATAACCATTCACCATTATTAACATTTTTTTTGAACAAAACATCTATATTGAAAAAGAAAAAGACCAACCAATGGTTAGACCAAAGTATAGATATAAATAGGTTAAAACTATAAATCGATATGATACAAAGATAATATAGAATAATTTAAATTATAAGATAATAACTATAGGTTGTAATCTTCACATTTATTGGTTATATATATATATATATATATATATATATATATATATATATATATATATATATATATATATATATATATATATATATATATATATATACGGGTTTAGTGTGGTAAACCGATATCACAGATACTCTCTGGTACCAGAACGATCTATACAATGCAGATGAATAAGTAGCTTGATGTATGCATGTATCATATTGCATAACAAGATTTTGGAAGATGAGGGGAGAGCAATTTGCTGGTACAACCATACTGAGAATTTACCAAATGCAGAAGGAGTTGGTATTGGTCCGGAGACCTACATGGAGAACAGAGCGAAACTGTATGATCGGGTTGGGCACCACAACCTTCACGTTGATTTGGTAGAACCATTGTCGACGATTTTGTTGAATACGTCTTGTTCGACGATATAGATGAGGAATCAAAGATGTTTGAAGGAGATTCGGATGAAGATTTTGATGACGTGCCAAGCGATGATGATCAGAGGACTTGTTCAACTATGTTTCGATTTTTTTAAATAGGTTTCGTTTTTTAATTTAGCATGTATTTTGTTTGATTAATGAAGTATTTTCATTTTTATTTTTAATTTTTTACATTTTATTCAATTAAAAAAGAAAAAAATATATATATGATAAAATGAGGTACGACACCTACTAGTTTTGTGGGGTGTGATAAAAAATGACTGTCATTTGAAAAGTGTAGTTAGTGTGTTATGACACTTTAGAAATAGATATAATTCATGTGAACTTATATGCATTAGGAGATTTGATCTACACGTACTAAGTGTCCATGGTTATAAATACACCACATTTTTTAGATGACTTTTGATATTTCTAGTTTTTCCGTTTTGTGATAAGTCAATATGTTTCCTCTTTTCTGTCACTTCCGTATGTGCGAAAACAAAATCTATTGCTAATATAAAATCTTTTTAATATGTCTGTTAGGGATTTATTGATAAAAAGGGGATAATGACTTGAAAGGGTAACGAACTTTACAACTTTGTTCACATTCAGTGATTAATTTTTTTTTCGTGTTTGATTTACCCCTAAATTATTTAAAATTGTGTATGTTTTACCCTTATGAATAGTTACAACCGGTAAATCAACTAGTAAGTTTTTCACATGGACTGCCAATAAATTTCATTATATTATTTTATATGAGCGTATGGTTTAATTTTTAATATTTAAAAAGTATATTTGCTTTCACTAAAAGAATTAAAAGAATTTCTCCAAGTAAATTTAACTAGACACAACCCAATTTACTCGAAACAACAAATAATGAATCTCATTGCCGGAACTGACGGATCTCCTACACAATATCCCACTTAGCGAGGGATCTAAGTCTTCTAACCGTTTTCCACCGATACAATTTTGAAATTTATTTGACATTTCCAATGTCTGAAAAAGCTCATGCGACTGCCATCATCATCATTCTCTTGCTACCATTCCTTCCTTAGAAATGGTAGCAATCAAACCCAAAAGTCCTTCCATAAACGATCACCATCCTTATTGAGAGACACAAAACTTCTAAACTTTGACTTCATTGTTGAACTAATCATGCTAACCCATCCACTGATCTTCCAAGAGATACTCCTGAATTGTTTCCACCAATGGCCCACAACAAACTACTTGACCATCTAAATCCAGCTCACCAAGATATATCCCACTCATAACTCTCGGCATGCAAAAATAGCATATAAGAATCCTTGACAATATAAACTATGCAATAGTAGAGAACTAAACTAAAGATAATGTTTTACACATACTAGCACATGATTCAATAACATATTTATCCGGATAATAAGGCATTAAGAAAACAAAGATAACATACCCACGATGGCATCTGATGAAACTCTGGCCTCCCCCGACTAACACTGCAATGCTCGGCTCCTTGTTGTTGGGGCTCCTGCCCTACCCTTACAATCGTCGGTGATCCTCAAAGTAACTGGACCAAGTATACTCACTATTCCACCCCTCAACATCAGATAGTCGACCTTCTTGTGGCCCACCTGGTTGTAGTGTAAACACATCAGAGCCAATCCACGAGGGCAGTCGTTACTAAAATGACCCATCCGACCAGTGGCTGAACGTCGTTTGGGGCCATGGGGGCCATGGCCCCCCTGATTTTTTATGTTTTTATACATGAGATATATATAAACGTTCTGGGGGGCCATGGCCCCCATGGCCCCAAACGACGACGGAAACGTTCTAAGGCGGAGGACGTCATGTATGATATCAACATATATGCAACTCAATTAAACTATTTAATTTAGATTATGTCACACCCCAAAACCAAGAACGGCGAAAACGTTCTAGGGCAGAGGACGTCATGTATAATATCAACAACAATGTAAAGTAGTAAACAAGCAACAACATCATCCATTTCATTAATAATATAATTATTATACAATTTTGTTCTATCAAATTTTGATAAACACTAAAGCATAAATCAAAATGAAAGATAAGTCTTGAACAAGCTCCATCTTCCTTTCTCCTTGCATCGGTACCTGTCTATGATGACCTGAGGATACAAGTAATTTTGAAAGCGAGTATCAGCTTTGAAGCTGGTGAGATCATAAGTATTTAGTGTCTTAATTTGTATGTAATAATTTGTAAGTAAATGAATTGTAAGTATTGAAAATGTATATGAACTATAAGTATGAAAATGTTTGTAAAACAACTGTAAACGTTTGATAAAACCCTAGAAATCCCTATGATTCCTACTATTATATAAAGTGTGTCTTCTACCAAGACCTAACTGTTCTCAATGTTCGTTTCTTGTAAAAGTGTGTAATTTTCCCAAGAATAACTATCATTTATAAGATATAGTTTTTATATTTATAGTTTAAGTGAAAAGATCACTAAATATATGTACAGGGAAAACTAATGTAGTACTAAAACGTAGCGCTATAAGAACTACTTCTGTACTAACTACCTTAAACCGGATTTATATTAAGGCATCATGTGATTAATTCCACTATACTATCGACTGGTAACAACGACATACGAATGGTCGTAATAACGGAATGACGTTTGGCACCTACAGACCTGCAGGTCCAGCTGTAGCTAGTAGCAAGGTGTAGGATAGTCAATCCAGTATAGATCTATACGCAAACTGACGCTCTCCCTCCAAGAGAATTCTGGCTACAACTCGGGCCATGACATTTAAGGCATGCTCCGATACAGTGGATCACAATTGTTAATGTATTAATGTAAGGGTAATGTACGGAACTGTTCTACGTGTGCTAGCTGTAATGTGTGTTCTTTCTCTATCTAGCAAGTATTGTAATGTAATCATTCTAGTATAGTTGTATATGTAATGTGCTGTAATATTCTAGAAAGTATTGACTCATGAATGAACTGACTCATTGTATGATATCGTGTTCTAGTAATAGTTCTGGTATCTTCCTAAGCTACCCAT